AGATACCTAATTACGTAGGGTAGAATAAGAATTAGGGCTACCGTTGTCTAACTTGATTCGAGTCTAAACCGGTGTTAAATTCAAAAGGAGTCTGATTAAAACGAGACTGTAGCCAATTTTGTAGTTTCTTCGAAAGTTTATCATGGCCAAACGACTTGGCTTAAAGATTATATTTCAACTAAGTTATTCGTCAATTAATGTTCTCAGTTTGAAGTTTAGAAAGCAATTTAAGCTTTACTTACGAAAGTCCTACATTCTGTTTAAATAAGATAAGTAATATACTTTAGTTTACAATTTAAAGTGGGGTTTGGTTTTGTAACACAGGCCCAGTGGAGTGACGATTTGCGCAAGATGGCTGGCAGGAGCTGGATGCGAGAAGCCCAAAATCGATCTAAGTGGCGTGCAATGGGAGAGGCCTATGTCCAGCAGTAGACTGCGATAGGCTGATAATGATGGTTTTATAACATTTTAGAGATACAGTCTTATCTAAATAGAGGTTCGTTAACACATTGCAAATTGAAGCAATACTAGTCAGGTCAGTCTACGGATGGGTGGCCATTTCTTAGCACATCGAGACCCCTCCGTGCCTCGGCGAGCACGGTCGGTCTGTCCCGGTTACCATACGAACATCTGAGACAATCTTTACGGTATTTGGAGCCCTAAAAATCCGACAATAGTGTTTCTACTGAACTAGGATAACGCCTACTTGGGTTGTGGAGGTTTCACTGCACTAGCTAAGCGTAATAAATCGAAGTTCAGCTAAGACAAGCAAGTCTACGGTAAACTCCCTCACTCGGTAAAAAGCAACAAGCGAAGTGGTAAACACCGCTTTCCAGTGAGGTCGTGGTACTCCGGTCGAGCCAGAGATATGAATTAAAAAACAAGACAGTGGTGCTAATTCTGTATTTCAAAAATTCTCTAAACCAAACTAAAAATCACTAAAAATTTGTTTAGTCCTGTTAAAAAACCTTCCGTATTCTGCAAACATAGCAGTTGACTGGACTAAACTAGTTTTTAGTGATTTGTTGTTTAGTTTAGAGAGTTTTCGAACAACAGAATTAGTATCAATATTTTCAAAGAGCAATGAAATTTTTTTTGAAGTTCAAAAACCTGGAAATCAATTTTAGCCTATGTCTAAAATGGTCCATGCCATTGTGTTAAATATTTGAGATCATTGGACGGTGATTGAATCCTCGTCACCTCAAGTTGCAGTTACAAAGGCTACCACCGTCCGCGTATAATTCATAACCTCGTAACATCACCCATCTAATACACATCTATCTGATACCAAACCAGGCAGTCTGCACTATGTTAACCAGACTGCTGATAAACATACTTATATATTTCTAAATAAATGTATATTAAAGATAAAATACATCTATACACAGAACAAATAATCGTGCTTTATCATCATTATCATCAACAGTATTCAGTAGTCCTTTACTGGACATAGACTCCTCCCTAAAAAGGAGGTTTTGGCCTACTATGCCACCCTGGCCAGACGAGTTGGTATAAGGTTTGTGGCAAGTTTTCCTTCTCTTTTCAGTTCTGTTGTCCTGTGTAGTTTGCTATTCATCCCGTGGGTGCTAATGACACCCACGGGATGAATAGGGGTTTTGACTCCCCGTATTCTTAATCATTCACCACACGGAGGGACAGATCGTGCTTATTAAACAAATATTTATCCTGGGTGGGAATAGAACGTAAGACCTCTGGCTAGCAGACAGGATCATTAATAACTGGCAGAATCAACTTGTTCATGATTTCTTTTTACACGCTTTATATTAGCTTCACTTGTATGTTTATTTGTATGTTTGTAAACGACTCCTTTGGGCGTGATTTTGACTGACTTTAAACGGTCAGAATTCGTTCAAACATCTATACTAATATTATAAAGCTGAAGAGTTTGTTTATTTGTTTGTTTGTTTGTTTGTTTGAACGCGCTAATCTCAGGAACTACTGGTCCGATTTAAAAAATTCTTTCAGCGTTAGATAGCCCATTTATCGAGGAAGGCTATAGGCTATATATCATCACGCTAAGACCAATAGGAGCGGAGCACCAATGAAGAATGTTTCAAAAACTGAGAAAATTTATTACTATTGAGAGACGCAGACGAAGTTGCGCGGGTCAGCTAGTTGTAGATATATCGAGGACCGATGACAATACACTAATTTTACAAAATAAAAGAGTGTTAAAATTTATTCTTAATAATTACAAGTCTATAATCTAATATAAAAAATTCTCGTGTCACGGTGTGCGTGGTTGAACTCCTCCGAAACGGCTACACCGATTTTCGTGAAATTTTGTGTGCATATCGGGTCTGAGAATTGACCAACATCTATTTTTCATATACCTAATTTTTATTTTTTGACAAAAAAAAATGAAGCTGGGGTGCTTTTTACTATTGACAACAGGCACCCAACGCTTTTGTTCAAATTTATTTTCTATTTTTTAGTTTGGTTTTCTATAAAAAGCGTGTTTTATAGTTTTTTTAAACTATTTTTTTTTTTATTGTAATACAATTCTTATCAGTATCTACTTGCGTGTGTATGTATGTATTCATATACTTTTATACAGTATTTGTGTATTATAAGGTATGTACTTATGTGTAATATTAATACGTATATGTGTAGTATATGACAGTTTGTATATGTGTATATATATTATATGATTTTGTACAAAGTATACATGTAATATAAAATGTCTAAATCATCTGTAACTAAAACGCACCTACTTCCTGTTTTCTCTGCATCACCCAATGGTTGACTGGTAGATAATGCCTTAGGTATGCACCAAATGTGCATGATGTGTAAATAAATAAATAAATTAACTTCATTATAATAAATTAACGTCCTAGTCCATTCTGTTTTATAAATTGTCCCATCACTAGGCGTGGACCTCTTACTAAATTTAAACATTCAAACCTTGAAAATCAAACAATTTAAGTAGAATTTGTTATTATGAAAGTCGAGGAAGATATTGATCAAGTCTAATTTCGTATCTAGAATATTTAACTGTGACGATTCATTCTTTGGACGTCTAAGTTTTACTAATGACGGTCGATATTTCAGCGCCAAATTTGTAGCTACTGAATTATAGATTTTTAAATGATTTTAAATGCTTTTATTATCTTTACTTTATTTATTTATTCTTTATTATTGTTCTTTATTTATTTATTATTGTAGACTGGATGGCGTAGTGGTTTGTGTAACGGACTGCTATTCTAAAGGTCGCGGGTTCGATTCCCGCTCAAGTCAAACATTTGTGTGCATGAACATTTGATGTTTGATTTGGTCTGGGTGTTTCTATGTATAATATGTATGTATTTACAAAAAAAAAAGTATATATGTATTTATATCAGTTGTCTAGTACCCATAGTACAAGCTCTGCTTAGTTTGGGACTAGATGGCGTTGTGTGTATGTGGTAGAATATATTATATTATATTATATTATTATTATTATTTTACAATATTTACTGACCCTTTTGTCAATTATATAGGTATGCATATTTTACATCACAAAACATGTTCGGCTGGCACTTAAAATAGGTACTACCTGAGCTATAAGTACCAGCAACCTTCCAATAACACAAATATACAATACAATACAAATTTTATAGAACACTAGCTGACCCGCAAACGTTGTTTTGCCATATACATTATTTCAATTTTTTTTGTCAAAAAAAAAAAAATAGGTATATGAAAAATAGATGTTGGCCAATTCTCAGACCTACCCGATATGCACACAAAATTTCACGAAAATCGGTGTAGCCGAGATTTTTTTATATTAGACTACCTGACCCGGCAAACGTTGCTTTGCCTAAAAAAAAATTAGGGATGGGTCACCCTTACCATTTAGGGGTATGAAAAAGAGATGTTGGCCGATTCTCAGACCTACCCGATGTGCAAACAAAATTTCATGAGAATCGGTCAAGCCATTTCGGAGGAGTACGGGAACGAACATTGTGACACGAGAATTTTATATTTAAGACTTGTAACTATTAAGAATAAATTTTAAACCTCTTTTATTTCACAAACCGCAATGTATTTATCTCGCAAGGCTCGTCGCCTTTGCAATATAAACACACGAAAACATGTTTTTTTACAACATCACATTACAAATCTTTAAAAATCTCGGATTTTCTTTACTGTAATATGCATGTATTTTACATATAAAGCATCCTCTTGAATAACTCTCTCTGTTGATATAAACCACATTAAAATCCGTTGCTTAGTTTAAAAGATCTAAGCGTACAGAACGTGGGGAGCGTCTTTGCACTATCTAAAAATGTAGTTTGGATGATAATACTATTATTTGACTGTTTGAACCGGTGTGATGATGGAACCAGGAGATGGATATGGGACAATTGTACTAGCTACTAGTAAATTTCTTGAGTTAAGGCTAAAACGACTCGCTTGAGTAATCTCAACAGATAACGATCGGTAATAATGGAATAGAATATAGATAGAATGCCAGGAGATGCCAGCAGAAGCCAGGAGATGTAACGGTAGCTCTTTTTTACTTTTAAATTAATTTCGCTCGTCTAGCGTTTTTTTTTAGCTTTACTAAACTATGCAAAGGACAAGAGCGCTGCAAAGAGAAGGAAAACTTGACACAAACCCTGTACCAACCCGTCTGGTCAGCGTGGTATAGTAGGCCAAAACCTCCTTTCTAAAGAGAGGCCTATGTCCAGCAGTGGACTATTAAAGGCTGGTGATGATGACTAAACTATATTAATAAAATTCCTTTATAAAATTGACATCTTTGAGCTGATCTGATGATGGTAAATTTATGGAACTCTTCATTGGCTTTTAGTGAACCCCTCGAGTTTGAGCTCGTATGGTTTGTATTTATGAGTTCAATAGATTAGGCCTCTATTGGAGAGGCCTATGTCCAGAGAGAGTTTGATAATCAAGCCAAAAGCTAGATGTCAAATTTTTTTTTTATTCTTTGTTCTATCGCCCTTGCCTCGTAATTTAGCTTATGGAAGGTTTCTTACCTGGTAAAATAACTGATACTCGGTATCGGTGAGTCTGAGAGCGACTTCTTCTGGGAAATGTAAGAAAGTCCTCAGAGATGCTAACTCTTCGTCGTTACTCTCGTCTGGTACTGAAGAACCTGGAAGTCAAGGTGAGGTTAGCAACTTGGTCATTTTTTTAAGATATTTTTTTCAGATAAGATGCATATGTATTGACTGTTGTATTGCTAGTTTAAAAAATGTGTGGTTTAAGTGGTTATTAAGCAAACTGGCACCTGATGGTAAGTGACTACCACTGCCTATGGGTACTTGGCATCGTAACTCAAAAGTCATAAATCACAGACAATCATTTTGTTACTTTCCCCGAGTGAGTGAGGTCCAATCCTCCCTGCTCGTAATTCTGAAGGGATTAAGGATTAATGGCCGCTAATGTGACCAACCTGCTTATTTGCTCCCCCCCCCCCCCCCCCCCCCCACAATATATAAAACATGATAATAGTATGCTCACCTTCATCATCAATACCCTGGCTAGTTGCTGAGCCACTAGGCTTAGGTCTGCCGTCTCGCATCTCACAATATACTCAAATAATATTATAATAATAATAATATAAATTAATTCACATCTAAATTCAACTAGCAAAATATTGTGATTAGCGCCATCTGTTGACGTGGTCGTTTTCATGTGACTTGTAGCGCCATCTATTAGGCGAAGAGCAGTAACTCTTATGACGATTTCATTGTTTTGTGTCGATAATTCTGTAACAAAAGAAAAGTTTATTTTTATAAATTGCTCTATAAATATGATTATGATGAATAATACGAACTTTACACATCACAGGTACATATCTCATGCCAAAATAGACAGAAAAAAATATATGGTTACCAGACTGCTGATAAACATACCTACTTAATTATATATTCCTAATATAAAAATATCATCAAAAATATCATTGTCCGTATGCTGACGGTTTAAGAATACGGAATGTCACCACCCTTATCCATCCCGTGGATGTTGTTAGAGCCGACTAAGGGAGCAAACTACGCAGGAGAACAGCACTGCAAAGAGAAGGAAAACTTGACACAAAGCCTTTACCAACCCGTCTGGTCAGCGTGGTATAGTAGGCCCAAACCTCCTAGTAAACTATTAAAAGATGTTGGTGATTCAGACGCCTTGTTTCCCAACTACTCTTTAAATATAAATTTAAATTTAGTCCCGATAGAAGCCCCACTAATTCATCGATAAGGAGGCTACTAAGTAATTAGGTGGGAGGGTTAATGATGATGTGACGTCATACCAATCGTGAGCGCGTTAACTCTCGTAAATGTAATAATACTTCTCTATACAGTCCTTCACAAGTTCAATACTAAAACAAACCCAAACCACTAATGGCTCAAAAGAACCACTCTAGTAGAAAACCCTCAGATAATTCGTAGATACGTCAATATATTTAACGACATATCTAAAACGCTTAGAACCTTTTAAGATCTCTTCGATTGAAGCTTACAAAACAACTTTCATAAAAGGTTTTTCCATTTTATTAAAGACTTTTGTATCTCAGAGATCGGTCAACTTAACAAATGAATTGATATACTTACAATTTTGTGCGCGTTTCGATTGCTCAGCCACGTTATAAGATTTGTCGAAAGTTGTCAAAATCGAAGGGAACAAACCAAACAATTGTCAAAGTAGAAATAAAGAAGTTATGAGGGTTTCAAGTTGGCCGCGCGAGCGAAACGTGGAGAATAGACACTAATTTTATCTCTTAAAGAAAAGAAGGCTGGACTTAGCGAAGGATATACTCGTAGATTGAAAGAGAAGAAGAAAAGATAGTGACTGCAAATACGTTTGGAAGAAGAACGTAAAACTTTGCCGGACTCTACTGGAGTGATACAACGGGCTGACACAGTGGCGGATTTACCAGGAGGCTGAGTAGGCTGGAGCCTAGACGGCAAATTTTAGGGGGTGGAAAATTGTGCCCAATTTTTTTTGGAACGAAGTTATTTATCGCGCGTTGTGAAAGGGGGCTAGACGGAAAAAAATCTTACGAAAATTGGTCACAACACTTTTTATTTTGAATTGTCACTTGTCAGTCATTCAGCGCCATCTATCGAATAGTAAAATTAAAATTTATGTTCTTAGGTTGAGCAAAAAATATTGTATTCGACATCATTTCTCAAGGAGATTTTACCAATGTATAAATTGTTTTAATTAGAAACCAACTGAAAAATATGTAGGTAATAGCCGCTTTCATAGATGGCGTTGTAATTAAAATCGTGTCTAATCAGTTTTACTCGATCGTAACCGTTCCTATCGGGTGTCCCACGACACCACACGGCTTTTTTTTTGTTTTACAAAAAAGAAAAAACAACAACAAGGAGAAAAGAGGTCTCGAAAATTTAACGAAAATACCAATATTTTAGCACTTTATAATAATTAATCTATAATTTGTGTTTATTTGGAAATATATGTGCCTGGTTGAAGGGAATAGGCTTGCCAATTTACGTAAGTAGGACTAAAAGTGCTCTTTATGACTTAAATTATGACTTAAACTCGTATCTAGACTAGCCACCCGATCCTAAACTAGGCAAAGCCTCTGCTATGGTAACCAGACTACATCCCGCGAGGAGGCGATGTCCGCGTGTGCCAGATGTCGCCTAAATGGAGAATGTACCCGAAGATGGAGCCTGCGACATTGCGGGCAGGGGCTGGGAGGAGTCCGGATGTCTTAATAATAGCGGTTCCCGGATCTCTCCTAATACAGGCGCAGAGTGGCACAACGTGTGGTTTTAGTCGATCTGATTCCGACACACCACCCCGCCGTAAACCCCGGTGGGATGACGGCCCGAGGGGGGTTTCCATACGTAAAAAAAAAATGGTAACCAGACTGCTGATAAACATACTTGTGTGGGATGATGTGGGAATCGAACCGACGACCAAAGAAGTCGTAGTCAAGATCACCAAACACTTGGCCAGACCGGTCCATTATAACTTATTGTATTTCGGTATTTCCCAATGGACTTATTGTAACTAATAATTCTAATAAGACCAGTATCTCTACGTGTAAATTTTAATTAAATGAATGTTATTAATTATTGTACATTAATTACTAACTTCGAATTCATGTTTAATCCATTGAAATCTTATGATTGATGGTAGTACAGTTCATGATTTAATCCCTCCGGCAACTAATGCCGGATAGAATTTAGCTTCCACACGAGCATTTTGGTTAAGGTGAGGTTCCATGAAGTGTAAGATCACTGTTTTGGTAAAAAGTGGCATAACTGTCAGTTTTATGCTTCTAATCCTGACTGCTTATGTATGAAAAGGTAGAGAAAAAAAGACTTGAAAATTTTTGTGTATTTGCTTTTTTGTTTGTTTGTTACGCTTTCGCGTCTAAACTTCTAAACCGATTTTAAAAATTATTTCACCAATAGAAAGCTACATTAATAGCGAGTAACACAAGGCAACAACACATACTCCTGGCTCCTATATCCCAAGGAGCCGAAGATCCGAAAGGATTTTCCACTCCGTCAACAAAAAAAAAAGTCTGGGAAGGGGAGACAAAGGATGATAACTTACTTGCCATCAGGTGACTGATGAATGACAGGTGACATGAATATATTTGCCACACATATAATATATCTCACACATCTCACACACGGAAGTCTGATCCCAAACTAGGCAGAGCCTGTACTATGGTAACCAGACTGCTGATAGACATACTTATATATTTTCATATACATGTTATAGATAAATTACACCCAGACATAGAACAAATCACCGTGCTCATCACACAATATTTGTCCTGGGTGGGAATCGAACCCACGACCTCCGATTTAGTAGTCAGGGTCACAAACCATTACACCAACAGACCAACATAATAATAATAAAGAATGCAAAAGCTTAAAGGTTAGTGCGAATACTATATTTTGGCATATTATATCACGCTAGAGGTTGGTAGATATTTTGTGTCAAGTTTTCCTTCTCTTTGTAGTGCTTTTGTCCTGCGTAGTTTGAAAAAACCTTCTTTCTCAAAAGAGGTCTATGTGAAGTAATGGACTATTATTATGATGATGATGACCAATGTATTGTATTTGACCAATTTTTATAATTCTTTTTGTTTTTTAAAAAGACAACTCCCGCACTAGGAGTAAATCACTTGCGCAAGCACTTCTCCTCCCAATTCTCGACTATGCCGATGTCAGCTATCTGAATCTCACTGAAGCCCAACTTGATAAGCTTGAGCGACTTCAAAATTTCTGTATACGATTTGTATTTGGACTAAGAAAATATGATCACGTTTCTGAATTCCGTCTAAAGCTCAAGTGGCTTCCGATTCGCTCTCGCCGGAATACTCATATACTCATTTTTCTCTATAACATCTTGTTCAATCCCAGAGCCCCCTTTTACCTCAAAGAACGGTTCAAGTTCCTTCATGACACACATGAAAAGTGTCTGAGGTCATCCGAAGATTTGAGGCTTGAGATGCCTCTGCATTCTACAAAATTTTACGACCAGTCTTTTACTGTTCAAGCTGTACGCTTGTGGAATGCACTGCCGATAAACATAAGGCGAGCGAAAACCATAAACAGCTTTAAGAAAATGGTCCAAGAATTTATGGTATCGTAATTAAGACAGCTACTTCCTCGTGTTAAGGTATGATTTGAACGCTTTTCTTTTTTTTGTTATATGTGATATTGTATAAGTACTTATGTATGTATGTATGTGTATTTGTATAAATATATGTGTGTGTGTGTGTGTGTGTATATTTCTTATATTATATATATATGTAGTTATTATCTCTTTTATATTCGTTAGTAATTAACCTGAAAACTCAATTCACCATCAACTACTACTATCTCTCCCGAACATTTTGATCCATCCTATGGTTGCCTGGAAGAGATTGCTCATAGCAATAAGGCCGCCCTTTGTACATTGTATATAACACTTTCATGTAACTATCATGCTTCTTGTAAAATGGTGTACAAATAAAGAGTTCTATCTATCTATCTATCTATCTAAATCATGTGTCAAAGTACACCCAGACTCAGAATAACAATTTGTAGATCACACAAAGTGTCGTCCCATGTGGGATTTAAACCCACAACGCTCGGCGCAATAGGAAGCGGCGTGGCCACCGCTTAAACCACTACGCCATCCGCCTTCATAATAAATCATATCTATCTCACAAATCAAGGAAAGATACGCTATCGTTTTCGACAACCAGTCTATTTGATCTAGTGGTCAGCGATCTTGAATGCTAAGCCAAAGGCCGTCGGTTCAATTCTATTCCAGGACAAACATTCTGTGATGATAACGATAATTTGTGTAATTTATCTACCATATGTATGTTTTTAGAAATATATAAGCATGTTTAACAGCAGTTACCGGTTACTATAATGGAGTCTTTTTCTATTTTTTCAAATCTCACAATGTCAATATTAAACATCTCTGTATCTTTAACGATGCGACGTTCGTTCGGAACATTAATATGAAACACCTTAGCGAGCGTACGTACAGTGAGATCCACCCTTCAACCGCATTAACGAGTCATATCTCGCTCCAAAG